AAATCCTGGCAATTACATGGATGCCACTAGACTTGCACCACCTATACAAACACTGTTACGTACCTGCTCTCATGGTAACAGCTCCCCCTGATTGCAGTGAGTGACCTCTTCAGCAGGAAAATGCGCCATGCCACACCACAAAAACTGTTAAGAAATGGCCCTAGGAAGGTAACAGAGAACTCAAGACATTGGCCAGCCCTCCAAATTCCCCAGATCCCCGTTTGATTGAGCGTCCGTGGGATGTAGTGGTACCCCAGAGATCCTGTGTCAACACATTCTCACTCCAACCTGCTCACAGATCAACTTTTGGTCATGGACCTTCCATATCCAGATATGACGTCAAAGGTACCCTGGGTGTGTTGGTTGTTGACGTTCTGGGACACTGTGTCAAGTTCTCTTCTTTCAAGATACACTTTACAGGAAATTTACGCTGAAAAAAGAACAGGGTTCTGCTTTAGCAAACACCACTCTCTCGGGTGAAAGTTGGTGTCTGTTGGACCCATCCATCACAACTCCCGCCTGCCCTACTCGGACTTTCGCCACCTTAACTTTTGTTCTTTAACTGTCACGTTTCCCCCTGACGCTGCATAGTGCCAGCAAACTATAACAGCGATCAGCTGCATATCATGTTGACGTTAAAGGATGGCTTTTTCATCAGTGTCTGACACCACAAGTCACTGCCCAAATGCCGGATTTTGACGACTTCGGAGTGAGACCGGGTTGCCCGTGTCCATGCCTCGACAGGTCAGAGGTCTCCCCATGGATCGACTTCGCTCTGACCAGTGGGGGTGTCCTGTTGTGTCTGGCACCACAGCATAGGTGGCAGATCCTTTGAGTCCTGTGGGTTATGAGGTGGGGTGCTGCCAAGTTCTATGGATGCTCGATCGGATCGGGACCTGGGGACTTTGAGGGCAGGTTGACGCCTTGAACTCTTTGTCACTCCTGAACAGTTTTTGCAGTGTAGCATGGCGAACTGTCCTGCTGGGAGGGTCACTGCCATCATGGGGAGCCATTACCATGAGGGAGGGTACTTGGTCTGTAACGGTCTTTGGATGGGTGGTGTGTGTCAAGTAGCATCCACATAAGTGCCCAGACCAAAGGTTTCCCAGCAGAACTTTGTATAGTAACAAAAAGATTCGTATTATTCACTTCACCTGTCAGTGGTTTTAATGTTTTGATGGATGTACAGTATATGTGTAATCATTTATCATTAAATATAATTACAGCTACACTATGTTATCTGATATTCAATAAGTCTTTATACAACAATTATGGTTCAGAAAAAGTTTATTCCGGCACTGTACGTTTCTGCAAACCACACATATGTTACATTTATATGCTATCAGGTAGCAGATACTTTGAAGCTGTGGTTAACATGTGGTTAGGTTTAGGCACAAAAACCACTTGGTTATGGTTAAGAAAAAATCATGGTTTGTCTTATAATACCAGATTTGGAGGAACAGTCCTCACAGGGGAAGCACCAGTGTCTCAGTAAAACAACAAAAGCTCTTTGTGGCATTATCCCCTCTGGAAAAACAGTGATGGGTCGCTACCAAGCAGCAACCCTCCAGGGCTGAAAAATGAAGCCAACACACAAGTGCCAGTTCTTTAAACGGCCACTTAAGGCTGGCTCCAGAAGCCAGTTAATCCCCATAGACCCTCATGTTAAAATGCCCAACTTTACAGCTGAAATAAACATGTTTACAGCCTGGTAAAAAGATGGTTTTGGTCTCTATGGCTCATTTCCCCCTTCACGACAACTGTACAGGGGGTGCATTTTTATATAATTCAGTTCAATTCAATTTAATTTAGGCTTAATTTTTGCATAATTTAGGGTGTGGCTGCTTTGAGTGACAGGCTGTCTGCTGATAGTGTCCTCAGCTTCTCAGTCAGATCCACCCCTTGCTCCTCCTCAGCGCCAGCTTCTTGCCCATATATGGTCACTTCTGGCTAAAAACACCCAAGCTGGTGAAAGCTGTAATGTCAAACTTGAGGCCTCAGAGTCCACAAACCACTCAGTGACATCACAGCAGCTACATCCGTTACTTTTTACAGTGAACGGTTGCTACAAAACACAGCAATGACTCACCAACCACAACCAGTATTGTTTTGGTCTCAAACAGTGGTCTGCAGCTTGTCAGGTGACTTGTCGAGGTGTCACACCACCTTTTACCATCCCCTCCACCTCCTGAAAGTCAGCTCATACACTATGTCATTTTAGAAACGCTGATGTACATGTAACGTATTCGTGATTTGCAGACTTACAATGTCAACATTTTCCTCTGGTGACTGTCTGAAATTATTTTACCTATTTCTTGGTGATGTTAGAGTTTAGATATTGGTGAAGATTCTCATTCACCAAGGTCATAGTAATCTTGAGCCCTGTCTCACTCCGAAGTCGTCGAAATCCAGTGCTTCTAATTCTATGCTTTAACGTCTACATGATATGCAGCTAGTTTCCGTTATAGTCTAACAATGCCGGCGGTGGCGGGGGAAAAGCTGCAGGGCAAGGATGAAAGTTAAAGCGGCAAATGTCCGAGTAGGGCAGGCAAGAGGGGTGGTGGATGGGTCCAACAAACACCGACATTCACCTGTTTGAATCCAAACGGAGAGCCGGGGCTAGCTGGGAGCGGCTAGCGGAGGTTAGCCACAGCATGACGGAGGGACGCACAGCCAGTTAGCCTCCGCTAGTCTCTGAGCTAGCCACGGCTCTCCGTTTGGATCCAACCGGAGCACCGAGCCCTGGTTTGTTATTCAGATTAAAGTGGGAAGAAGCAGCAGGTTTATCGGGCATCTGAGTGAAGTGGAGCCTGCGGAGGAAACACCGGGATCGTCTGAATGTAATAGTCCGTGGAGGTGCTGCGGTGCTCGGCTGCACAGATAGGAAACCCCTCGGCTGTCAGGATGTACCACTCTGTCACTCCGCTCTCTCTCACGCAGGCGCAGAACGTACGTGCCACTTGGCCGTAGGATGTAGTCCGTGTAGTGTGTTCAAATGCAACTGAAACAGGGCAACGTGAGGCGACGTAGACGACGCAACAGTTGGCTTTCGTCGCTGCTAGTTCTTTGATGTCGGTTTGGTGTGTCCGCACCTTAAGATTCTAAAGCCAAACCCTGTTCTTTTTTCCGTTGCAGTCTTCGCCATTCACAGAACTTGACACAGCGTCCCAGAACATCAACAACCAACGCACCCAGGGTACCTTGCACGTCATATGTCACCATGTAAAGTCCATGACCAAAACGTCAATATGTGAAGAAGTCAGAGACAGAATGTGTTGACCTCTGCTGACTGGACTGTCTAAAATTATCTTATTTATTTCTTGGTGATGTTAGAGTTTAGATGTTGATGAAGACTCTCACTCATCCAGGTCATGGTATTCTTAAGTGCTATATCGTAGGCAACTGGACACATGACGGTCTGGTGGGTCAACGACTCACATGACCTTAATGACTTGGAGCTCACATGTGACCTCAACGTCTCTTAAAGGGGTCACACCAACACAGAGTTTGAAGCCTCTGAGGCCGCACCAGTCCATTAAAACTGAAGAAGCAGCCTCTTGGACGAGAGGTGAAATGTCCTCAAGAAACTCAAGCAAGTCAAGTTGAATACAAATTAGCACTTAAGGTTAGAGTCTGGTTAGTTGTGCAGCGTTAAAAGGCAGTTGTTGATCTCCAGAGCAATTTCCTCAGAGAAACAGCTCCACTAAAGCTTAGGGAAACACACAAGCATCCTTCAGTTATTATTAAAAGCATTATTCTTCATATGTGTTTCTGTTTAATTGCACACTTCCCTGTAGACATTTGTACATGTGTGCATGTCAGAGCACCTGCTGGGTTTAGCTAAGTGATTATTTCAAATGAAGTAATTGGAGCTACTAATTAAACACCAGCCTCTCTATCTGCAATTAGTCCTCAATAACTCTTTCAAAGAAACTACTGAAGGACCTGTAAAACAGAATGTTACTCACTTACATCTCTTTACAGCTACTTTAAAACACTTTACCTTTTACTTTAAGTTCTACCTATCCACATGTCTGTCTGTCTGTCTGTCTGTCTGTCTGGGTTACAAACTGAAGGTGCCAGATCATGTAGCACTTTGCAAGTCAGTGGAAGGACGTTCAAATTGATCTGTTGCTTTTTGGGGAGCCTGTACATAGTGACACAAGGATAGAGGTGATTCTCTGACATCTCTAATCTATTATCAATACTCTCACAGGACACTTTGGACGACCTGTTGATTTAATGCAGCATGAGGTGTCAAGAGATTTTTACAGCTGCTGATGCTGAGTGATAAATGTTTCACACTCCTTTCACCAAGTGACGTTAGATCTGATGTAGATGTGTGTTTTTCCAGGCCATCAGGGAAATTGTAGGTGAGATTAATTAATTTGAAGTTAAGGTATTTTTAACTAGGTGAGGAAAGTTTCTCATCACAGACTTGTGTGGTACACCACAGGATTGTGAAACTGTAAATTAAAGATGAAAGATTTTCCAGCCCACCTGTGCCATGAGATTATGATGAGTCACTGCATTGAAGTGAAACCTGCAGCCAGGGTGGACAGTGCGCTCTGGTAGATCTTTAAAGGCATTTTAATTTTCTTTACATCTAGATTACAGTCTGGATAATCACGAGAAATGTGTTTGGAGATAATTATTTTATGGATTTGTTCCTGGATCAGAGAAAAGGACAGTTAGAGCTGTACATCAGTGTACTTTCAGTGTCATTAACACAGCCAATTAATGAATGTATACTTTAGTTGGACACTGTGGTATAGAATTGGAAGAATATAAGCTTTTGGCAAATTACGCAGGGACAGTTAATTATAACTTCAACCACATGTGCGTGCGTAAAGTGGATGGCTGGGCGCGCACACACGCAGCACATCACTGCGGGGAATCGCTGCTATCAGACGCGTTATTCGGAGTGGGAGTGAGGGCTATGGACGATTTATCGACAGATTCGCCTGTGGGACAAATCTCCTCTAAAACAGTCCACATGGTTTACTTTTGTCTCATGTGTAAATAACCTAAAAAATGAAACGCATAAACAACAATCGGTGATTTCTTTTTTCCTGGTTGTTTCAAAAAGAAGGTTTAGACTTAATTCTTATTTTTTGTGTTGATGTCTCACTCGGATATGGCACATATCTGGATCCAATAAGAGAATTTCACAGCGTCAGACGCGTCTGCGGCGGGGGAGACCAGCGGAGGGACTCGGAAACTTGTGTGGTGCAGCAGACGGTCTCTCTTTACGAATCGGCGCTGAAACAGCCTGAGAGAAAAAGAGAGCCATGGTGAACTCCCTCTTACTGATGCTCAGCTGGACTGTGATCTCTGAGGTGGCGAGAGCTCAGAATGACACGGAGCCTATTGTCCTGGAGGGGAAATGTCTCGTGGTGTGCGACTCTAACCCGACCACGGACTGGAAGGCTTCGTCCTCTCCGCTCGGGATCTCAGTGCGCGCCGCCAACTCCAAGGTGGCTTTCTCTGCAGTCCGGAGCAACAACCATGAACCGTCGGAGATGAGCAACAAAACGAGAATAATATACTTCGACCAGGTTAAGATGATTTTTATCAACAATATGTCAAAAAGTGTCTTAAATGTATTTTAAATGCACTTTGCAAATTAATCTTTCATTTGATGTCCTGTCTAAATGTCCTATCTAGTCTTTTCTTGCCAAATTTAATCTTTCTTTGTGATAAATCTTCATCCCTCAGCTCAGTTTGTGACTTGTGATGCAGAGCATTAAAGTGTCATTGCAGTTAAGTGTAGCTGCACCCCAGAGTTTAGTTTGAGGCTAGTTGCAGTTGGCATGTGGATTCCGCACAAGTGCACATACCTATCACACGCAGGCGGGTTTGAAAGTGACTGGATTATGTTTGGAGAGCGGGCGTCCTGCAGAGCCCTGCACATCATCATCATATTTGGCTCAAACTACCCCCACCACGCACGCGCACCTACATAATACACCCCGAAAAAAAAAATCAAGCAAACACAAACAAGAATGTGATTAGTCATACAGAGGTGGGCAGGTGTTTGTAACACTATCACTCAGCTGATCCTCTGCCCTCTCATTTGAATTACATAACGTGATCTTTTGCTGTCAACACCTTGCAAGTGATCTGATTGGTGTGTGGATCATGTGCATGCTGTTGCTATGAAAGCAACACTTGTCAAAGGTCGTGGTTTGAGGCTGCAGTGGTGTCTTTAGCAGGTGTTTGAGAGTCTGCAGGTATCCAGGTGCTGACCCAAAGAAGTCTTACTATAAATATAGTGTGTGTCAGATATCCTCCAGAGACCCCAGCTTTTATTTGGTAGGCATTTTTAATTTCTCTGAGGTATTTGGGAATGTATGATATTAATTAATAATATTATATTATTAGTATTAGTATTAATAACTAAGCATTGTCTTTGAACAGTTAGCAGTTTTTGGGAAAAAAAAAGATGTCCTCATATGGGGACGGTGGGTTTGTTTTTAATAGTTTTAAAGTAATACATTAAAAAATGGTTTCAATTATTTCAATACCTTAAAATTGTCGCTTCACACAGCCGATAATTTAGTCCTGAAGTCCTCAAACAAGTACTTCCTAATTAACAGCATCTAAGCTCATTACTGTTGCAAAAATTGGCCAAGTTTGTATGCCACGTGAAACTACAGACATTGTTTAGCACAAGTAATTAAGTTTCAACCACAAAAGTTGATCAGGTTTTGTACCCTGTCCCCTTTTGTGTCCGGATCAGCTGTAGACTGAGCAGTGTCCACAAACCAGGACAACAGGTCTGAGTTAAGCAGAATGAAGTATAAGGTGCAGGAAACCCAGGGTCTCAGGAGGATATGACTGGAAAACATTTTGTGACACTCGAGAGACGGCGTTAAATGACATGCTCAGGGTGGATTATTTTTAGCAAGCAAAAGTAAGAAAATCTTATTTATTTAGCAACGCTCTATATATCAGTATCAGGCACTTTATCTGTGTAAAATGTGGAAGTGAAAAGCATAATTTTGGTTTCTGTGTAAAAGTTCAACGCTGGGTTTACATCCATCAGTTGAATTGAATATGTTCTGAAGTGTGTTGCATTGAGTTTGTGTCTGAGCAGCCTGTGTGCACTGACATATCTAATCCTAAAACTCCACTGAAATGAAAGCCTTTGTTGAAAATGTTGGCTTTATGAAAACCTTTGTCACAATGTGTGTCTTTTTTTTCTTCCTCTCTCGTAGGTTCTTGTGAATATAGGAAACTACTTCACATTTGAATCAGTATTTTTGTCCCCAAGAAAAGGAATCTACAGTTTTAACTTCCATGTCATTAAAGTGTACCAGAGCCAAACCATACAGGTATTATTCTTTGTTTATTTCACAGAGCTGTGCAATTGATTTGGTTGTAAACCTGTTTTAGTGTTGGAGTGGGACAAAATGTATTTTTTTAGGGACTGTAAGGAAATTATTGGTGTACAAGGATGGCAGAATCTCATATTTCATTTTAAGAAAACACAGTTTCACACTATTTTATTTGAACCCTCCTCCAGAAAAACCCTGCAAAACCATTTATCTCAGAGTAATACAACAGTATTGATTTTAAAATAGGCCAAACGTGAAGACTTTAAGATCGTATACCCTGACCTCAACCCTAACAGTTACCCTTAATATGTTAATGGCAGAATAATTTCCACAATGTATTCATTTTTTATTATTATCAATCTGCTGGAAACTAAAATCGTGACATCTTGAGTCACTTAACAAAAAAGCCTTTTAGAAATCTTTGCCCCACGTTTTATTTTCCCAGGTCCAGTTTGTTTTAGACACTGATTTTATCTTATTTCGTTGTATTTCGTTGTTATCTAAATCTATTTTATTCTCTGCCAGATTTTTACTTTTGCCTTAGTTTAGTTTTAGTTTACTTTACTTATTTGCACTACTAACAACACACACAAAGGCTTTAAAGGAGCTAAAAGGATAAAAGGGAAAGGGCTTATAGGGACATCTCACCAAAACAGGGAAATAACAACAATAGCATCTAAAATTGAAGTCAAACCTCTGTTCAGTGAAAGAAAAAAATTTGCAATTCCCTCCCTCCCTGATGATATACATCCATTACCTACTTACTGACTGGTTGATGGAAACAGTGGCTGTTTGATTTTCTTGACCAGTTTTCTTCTGCTTGTATAAAACACATTATAATACATCCATGGACCAGTGGTGCCCCCAAGAGTGGGCTCCACTTGATACAATTGCCACCCCCCCATTGGGGACCCTTGAGGAAACTAATCGGAGGTTGAAATTACTGTGTGTAGGAGGCTAGGGTGCACACGTTTCTTAATCTAGCACATGGGTAGTAATATCTTCTAGAACTAGACAACCTAAGGCATCCGTTGGTACCAACTATGTCAGCATAGGTTTTTAAGAAGGGGCTAAATAATGCTCCAAACATAGGTACAATTTTGGCAAGGGAACACCGACCATCAAGACATTCTCACTGCGAACATATTGACGTTTGGTCATGGACTGTCCACCTCCAGATACGACGTGCAAGGTACCCTGGGTGCGTTGGTTGTTGACGTTCTGGGACTCCGTGTCAAGTTCTGCCTGTTACATGCATTGTCTTCTTTCAAAATACACTTCTGTTTTCACAGGAAATTTAACGTTTACATACATACAGTACAGGCCAAAAGTTTGGACACACCTTCTCATTCAATGCGTTTTCTTTATTTTCATGACTATTTACATTGTAGATTCTCACTGAAGGCATCAAAACTATGAATGAACACATGTGGAGTTATGTACTTAACAAAAAAAGGTGAAATAACTGAAAACATGTTTTATATTCTAGTTTCTTCAAAATAGCCACCCTTTGTTCTGATTACTGCTTTGCACACTCTTGGCATTCTCTCCATGAGCTTCAAGAGGTAGTCACCTGAAATGGTTTTCCAACAGTCTTGAAGGAGTTCCCAGAGGTGTTTAGCACTTGTTGGCCCCTTTGCCTTCACTCTGCGGTCCAGCTCACCCCAAACCATCTCGATTGGGTTCAGGTCCGGTGACTGTGGAGGCCAGGTCATCTGCCGCAGCACTCCATCACTCTCCTTCTTGGTCAAATAGCCCTTACACAGCCTGGAGGTGTGTTTGGGGTCATTGTCCTGTTGAAAAATAAATGATCGTCCAACTAAACGCAAACCAGATGGGATGGCATGTCGCTGCAGGATGCTGTGGTAGCCATGCTGGTTCAGTGTGCCTTCAATTTTGAATAAATCCCCAACAGTGTCACCAGCAAAACACCCCCACACCATCACACCTCCTCCTCCATGCTTCACAGTGGGAACCAGGCATGTGGAATCTATCCGTTCACCTTTTCTGCGTCTCACAAAGACACGGCGGTTGGAACCAAAGATCTCAAATTTGGACTCATCAGACCAAAGCACAGATTTCCACTGGTCTAATGTCCATTCCTTGTGTTTCTTGGCCCAAACAAATCTCTTCTGCTTGTTGCCTCTCCTTAGCAGTGGTTTCCTAGCAACTATTTGACCATGAAGGCCTGATTGGCGCAGTCTCCTCTTAACAGTTGCTCTAGAAATGGGTCTGCTGCTAGAACTCTGTGTGGCATTCATCTGGTCTCTGATCTGAGCTGCTGTTAACTTGCGATTTCTGAGGCTGGTGACTCGGATGAACTTATCCTCAGAAGCAGAGGTGACTCTTGGTCTTCCTTTCCTGGGTCGGTCCTCATGTGTGCCAGTTTCGTTGTAGCGCTTGATGGTTTTTGCGACTCCACTTGGGGACACATTTAAAGTTTTTGCAATTTTCCGGACTGACTGACCTTCATTTCTTAAAGTAATGATGGCCACTCGTTTTTCTTTAGTTAGCTGATTGGTTCTTGCCATAATATGAATTTTAACAGTTGTCCAATAGGGCTGTCGGCTGTGTATTAACCTGACTTCTGCACTGCACAACACAACTGATGGTCCCAACCCCATTGATAAAGCAAGAAATTCCACTAATTAACCCTGATAAGGCACACCTGTGAAGTGGAAACCATTTCAGGTGACTACCTCTTGAAGCTCATGGAGAGAATGCCAAGAGTGTGCAAAGCAGTAATCAGAGCAAAGGGTGGCTATTTTGAAGAAACTAGAATATAAAACATGTTTTCAGTTATTTCACCTTTTTTTGTTAAGTACATAACTCCACATGTGTTCATTCATAGTTTTGATGCCTTCAGTGAGAATCTACAATGTAAATAGTCATGAAAATAAAGAAAACGCATTGAATGAGAAGGTGTGTCCAAACTTTTGGCCTGTACTGTACATCCATTTTTGTAAACGCTTATCCGCTTATTGAGGTTCGCAGGGGGCTGGAGCCTATCCCACCTGTCACTGGGCAAGAGGCGGGGTACACCCTGGACAGGTCACCAGACTATCACAGGGCTGACACATAGAGACAGACAACCATTCACACTCACATTCACACCTACGGACAATTTAGAGTCACCAATCTTTGGACTGTGGGAAGAAAACCCACGCTGACATGGGGAGAACATGCAAACTCCACACAGAAGGGCTCCCTCCTGGGATCGAAGCAGGAACCTCTTGCTGTGAGGCGACAGCGCTAACCACCACACCAACGTGCCGCCCACGTTTACATACAGTCTCTTTTGAAATGAACGCACTATGTCGGCACAACACCAAGAATTGACATTTTCTTTTCCCTCAACAACAAACACACATGGTTAGGTTTAGGAAAAAAGAACAGGGGCTGGCTTTGGAATATTTTTGGACGCAAACACGGCTCTCTCGGGTGAAAGTCGGTGTTTGTCGGACCCATCCACCACCCCTTCCACCCACCCCCGTCTGACTTTTGCCACCTTAACTTTTGTCCTTGTCCCACCATGTTTCGCCCTGACGCCGCTGCCTATAACAGCAACCAGCTGCATATCATGCCGCCGTTAAAGGACGCCTTTCTCATTGGTTTCTGACACCGCAAGTCACTGCCCAAGGGCTGGATTTTGACGACTATGGAGTGAGACCAGGCTCCTAGCGTGGTCATTATCCAAGGGGTCCTTTGAACTCTCACTTCAAGATATCTGAATGAAAATGGGCTCCACAAGTCTCCCCTAAATTGAGAAGGCTTGTTCCTAGTAAATATTATATATCTCTTACAATCAATGTACTCCTTCAAATTGAAGCTGTATATTTGTCTCTATATCTGTTTTAAGAAAAGGACAATCAGCCTGATTGAAGAACAACTAATTGCCTAAAACATGTAAATACAAATACATAACACATTAAATATGATTGTTGGGGATTCCAATTGTTAACTGTACCGGTATTAGTCTATGCACATCAGATAATTAGTATCCTTATATTAATTGTAAAATAACAAGCTATATCAGCATGTGATTCCTTAACTTCCCATACTGACATAGTTTTCAATAAGCCTACTATGTACTTCAGCAGCTTAACAGAATCCCTAAAATTCAGTTATGGCTTTTGGTTTTGGTGTGCCGAAACCAAAAGGGCAACCACTGCCCTTTTGATTTTGGCACACTAAAACAGATTGGTTTGGCAAACCATTTTTAATAGGGGAGGCCCCATCTGGCCACCCCTATTAAAAATTTCTGGAGGCACCACTGAGACCCGCCTGAATCTCCTTTCTTTTCTTTCTGATACAGGCATAACAGTAATCGTTTTCGTTAGTAGTTGTGCGGCAAGTTTAACACAATTTCTAACATCTACTTTAACTTAAGACGTTACAAATAAGACACAAACTATACTAAAACATATCGTCTGAACATGGAGTATAAAAATAATGGACCTAGCTCCCACTGGTTTGTGGATCCCTGTTATGAAGCCTCGACTTTGGCATTACGGCCGTCATCATTTTGATTATTTGGATCCAGAAGTGCCCGTATCTGGGCAAGAGGGTGGAGCTGTGGAGGAGTGAGGGTTGGATCTGATTATTGACAGAAAGCCTGTCAATCAAAGTGGCCCGGCCCTTAATTAGGTGTAACTTTTAGCCTTGATAAAATGTAAATGAGTGAGTTATATAAAAATTCAGCCACCTGGGTGCTCAGTAGCTCAGCGAGTAGATTGGGCATCCCATATTCAAAGGCAATGTCCTTGCCGCAGCAGCCAGGGGTTAAGGTGGTGAAAGTCTACAATGGGTGGGCAGGAGGGGTGGTGGATGGGTCCAACAAACACGACTTTCACCTAGGAGAGTGGTGTTTGTGTCCTGTAAGATTATAAAGCCAAACCTTGTTCTTTTTTCCTAAACCTAACCACGTGCGTTAGTTGTTGAAGGAACAAAAAAAGTCAATTTGCATTGTTGTACTGACGTAGTGCATTTATTTTGAAAGAGACTGTACGGAAATGGTAAATTTCTTGTGAAAACCGAAGTGTATTTTGAAAGAAGACAATACATGTAACAGGCAGAATTTGACAGTGTCCCAGAACGTCAACAACCAACGCACCCAGGGTACCTTGCACGTCGAATCTGAATGTAGAAAGTCCATGACCAAATGTTGATGTGTGACGAACCTGTTGCCCTTTGCTGCATATCATCCCCCAACCCTGTTCACGCTTAATACTGTCCTGTCTAATAAAGGCAAAAACCATAAAAATAACCTTAAAGAAAAGAATTCTCGACCCGTACAGTTGTCAAGAATGATCAAATTAGCTATAGAGACCAAAACTGATATTTGCACCAAGCTGTAAACATGTTAATTTCTGCTGTAAAGTTGGGCATTTTAACATGGGGGTCTATGGGGATTGACTGGCTCCTGGAGCCAGCCTCAAGTGGCCATTAGAGGAACTGCAGTTTGTGGCACTTTGTTGTTGGCTTTATTTTCCAGCTCTGTAGGTTGCTGCTTGCTTCCTTTGGCTTTACTGTGGCTAACTGTTATTTCTGTTGTCCAGGTGAACTTGATGTTGAATGGGAAACCAGTCATCTCTGCCTTTGCGGGTGACAAAGATGTAACTCGTGAGGCTGCCACCAATGGAGTTCTGCTCTATCTAGAAAAAGAGGACAAAGTCTACCTAAAGCTGGAGAAAGGAAACCTAGTTGGTGGATGGCAATACTCAACATTTTCTGGCTTTCTTGTGTTCCCTCTGTAAAAAAAAAAAAAGAAAAAGAAAAAAGCTAAAGAAAAAAAAGAAAAGAAGATTGTAAGCTTACTGACTTCTTCATAATGTGTTGTCACTGTATAATCAAAACATTGCTGCTGCGTCCGTTGGATCTTGCCAAATTGTTGAAAAATGATAAATGGGGATGGATCAGAAAAGAGAGAGGAAATGGAAATCGACTCTGGAAATAGTTCACATTCTCTGGATGTGCTGAGTCTCCGTCCAGATGAAAGAGACTTGAAATGTTCCCTATCGCTACTGTATGTTCCTGTCACTCAAGCAGCCTCAGAGAGGAACACTAAAACATCCCAAAAGTACTTTTCAAACTTTGACTTGTCGGAATATATTTAGCATACTGATTTTTATCATGGCAACTGTTGCATTCAAGTACATCTGCCTTCTGGGTGTAAACAGTATATGCTTGTGTTACTTGTGTGACTTGTCATCACCAGAGTATTCACATTGTAAGTATCTGGGTGGGTTGGGTGGGTGGGGGAGCTTCTCTGGAGCTAATTGTTCCAGGTCAATAGCTGGTCACATGAGAGGGGTGATTGATGGTGGAGGTCACCTTGAATTAGATTTTTTTTAAAGGAGATCAGTGCTTATTGCAAAGTGTGTTTAGGGATCAGAGACATGGATGGATTATAGAATAGGCCTACTGGGTGCAAAGGGCCCCTGACCCCTTAAGGCCAAAACAGGCAATGTACAATCCCACACCGGCAACGGCTGGACGTGCATTCGTGCTCCTGGATGTGCCATTGTCCTGTTTCCAGCTTCACTGCCCCCAGAATTTTTCCTCCACTCGCCCACTGCTTGTACATACCAGCTCCCGTAGCAGCTCTTTTTCTCTGCTCCTATGGCATCTTGACTCCTCTCCTCAACACTAATGTATAAAGAGAACTCTGTAGCTGTTGCTCTGTCCTGTGTGTGAAGACAAATGGATGAGGAGAGGCGTGTTGAGATAGAGGAATATCCTGAGCTTAACGACCCACAACCCTGTCATTATAAAAGGCCAAAAAGATATTGCCTGGTGAGTCATAGCTCTGGTTCTTCAGATGAGAAATTAAGTTTTATTAGGGGCTGTCCGCACATGATTTTAAGCTAATGCAGAGGTGGAGGAGTGCAGATCTTTAAGTAAAAGTAGTAATACCTGTGCGTGGTCATCTGTTGACGAGCTTCAGCGCGACCCATCCAGTGTTTGCCAGTAGCAGCACTTGACGTGTGTCACATGATGCGCCGCAGCGGTGCCTAAGTGTTTTCAGCTTTAGGCCTCTGGGCTTCACCTGCAGTGTCACTGGGAGATTCTAAACAACTGCAAAGATGCTAAATGACTGCAAAAAAAGTTGCAAAACAACCACAGGACTACAAAACAACCACAGGACTACAAAGAGACACAAAAATGACCACATAAAGATGCAAAACATTCAACAGAGAGACGCACAACGACCACAAATTGATACAGAATAACTGCAAAAACACACTATATGACTCTCTCTCCAATATATGTAGGAGGGATGGGAGGTCTTGTACGTGTCTGTGCCCTGGGCAGAGTCCTGCAGGGGTCTGATTTTCAAGCCCCATCCCAGCAAGATGATGTGCAATTCCACACCCTCCCTGCCATCTGCGCATATGACCAATTAGTTCCACAATCTGACCATCGACACCATCAAGATCTGCAGCCAGACCCAAAACCCCAAATCCTATAATAACCATGCGCTGTTCGTGATTCTGTTAGGCAGCACTCTTGAAGTAATAATTTTGGGACACTTCATTTTAAAATGAAGGTAATTCAGAAAATACAATTTAAATTAATATTTTTGCTTATTCTATTGAAAAGCACATCTCCACAGTTAACGTACGTGTTAGTAACGACTGAAGCAGCTCTCTTATTCCAGCTGGCCCAGAAGACAGAGCCGACACGCAAAGTCAGCAGTCAGAGGATTAAAACATTAAATGAAATTATTATTATTCTCATTTTATATTAACATATTTATCATCTGACACCCGCCAGCCAACACACGTTCTTTATTTTACGCAGAACTGATCATGGAAACAAAATAAAGACAAAATACCACTTGTGAATCATCTTCACCCGCCAAGTACCCATGGGTATCGGACCAGATACCGGACCCTGGCCCAGGGGCCCATTGTGCCATAATCCATCCATGATCAGAGGTCGGATTTAATCATATGTCGGGTCATTTATGCTGATACTGATCTTTGCTGTTGATGAATTACAGTGGTGACCCTGTCTCTTAGGAATCACATTTATATTCTACCAATGTGTTTTGTCAAATATGTTTTGAGAGAAACGTAATTCTTGCCTGGATTATGTTCAGTGGCAGTGTTATCCTCAATGATTACTTTTTTTATATCCATGACTCTGGAGACTTGTGTCAGCATCCTGAGTCCCACGTATGGTTAAGTTTAGGCAACAGAAGCACTTTGGTATCAGTATCTTTACATAAATAATTGATCACTTGACTTATTGGATTGAGAGTGTAGTGATAAACCCACTGGATCATCACCCATTGGATTTAGGAAGCATTTTTGTTTTTTCAATACATTTTTTTCTGTGTTACGGCCCACAACTTCTGTGTATTTGTTCACTCGCTTGGCTCTCATTGGCGTTGTGTTCAGCTGCATCAGGCATCTATCTTCAACAAGCTTAAATAAACTTGCACACTACTTCCCCAGCTACCAAACAGCAGACAAAGTTGGCGACTAGTGAAGATAATGGAGCATTTAGTAGCTAAAGAGCCAGATATTTCCTTTGGGAGCTGGTGGAGGCCAAAACGGAGCTAAAAGGAAACTAACAGAAAACAGATTATTGGACTTATTTTGTTGTGGGACGGGGGGGGGGGGGGGGGGGGGGGGAGGAAATGTTACATGAGCAGTTTATCTGCTCAATGTGTAAATGGACAACTGCCTGCCATATGAACTTAAGAGATAAAATGCTTTTTAACCCTTTTAGATCACATCCAGTGAAATTTTGTGCACCCATTTAATAATATACGTTCAAAAAGAAAAAGAAATTAAATTTTTTTTTTCATATATATATCCAATCATGTTTCCTTCCTGAAAAACAGGGTGTGTGTGCATATGTACGCTCATACCAACCAATGTCAACCAATAATATCATGACATCCCCCCTCAATCAATCTGCAACTTTAAGCCACACAGAGCTACGTTTAAGCTAGCAACCATCTTGTTGTCCCCAAAATATAGTGGTCACAGGCTGCGGGCTAAAATGTATTGACTTTGTGTAAAGTAATATAAAGTAAAGTAAAGTGAACTGATGGATACCACTATAACAACTCAGTTTCACTCTAAAGTCGTCGAAATCCGGCGCTTGGGCAGTGACTTGTGGCATCAGACACCAATGAATAAAGGCATCCTTTAACATGGGCATTATACACGGCTGGTTGCTGTTATAGTTTAACAGTGCCTGGCGGCATCAGAAGGAAACGCGGTGGGACAAAATGAAAGTTAAGGCGGCGAAAGTCCGAGTGGGGTGGGTCCAAACTCCGACCTTCATCTGGGAGAGCAGTGTTCGCTTTCCTGTAAGATTATAAAGTCAAACCCTGTTCTTTTTACCTAAACCTAAACACGTACGTTTGTTATTGAAGGAAAAAAAACGTTAATTTGCGGTATTGTTCCAACGTAGTGTGTTTATTTTTAAAGAGACTGTATGTAAACTCATCCAGGGTACCTTGCATGTCGTATGTGGACGTGGAAGGTCCATGACCAAACGTCAGTATGTGACGAGGTGGGATTGAGAATGTGTTGACTATTACATTCGCAGAAACTGTCAGGGCCTCAGTTTTATGACACGCCCACTTTTCAATTATCAAATCAAATTCCTCCTATGTCACGATACTGAAGCTAGATACTCTGGAAATGCTGCTTCACTTGGACTTCAAAATGTGATAATATGTCAATGTTTACAGCTTGTTTCTGCTGCCCCCACGTGGCCAAAAAAAAAACAACAACAACAAAAAACGAGTTATTGTAGTTTTATGGTAAGTTACTTTTTTCTATTTTTAACCACAATCTCAATATTTCCCTGACATTAATCAAGTGCCGTGTGCCTAATTTTAACCTTTGGAAGTGTTAATAATGCTTTGGTTGCTACAGTACAAGTGGATATTGTTGGGAAAACAAAATCTGTTGCCACTGAACATTTTCTGACTTGTCAGATCATTCATTCATTAAAATCATTTCTCATTATGTTGATAAAAACATAATTCAGGCAGCGTTACGTTCCTCCCAAAGTGTATTTGCTTTTGGAAAATGAGAAGCATATAAATGTAATTTCTACCTGTGCATTTATAATAGACCTCGCACAAGTCAACTTGTGGTTTATGGACCTTAATAAAGTTTAATGGACATCTGAGAACCTTAATTAGTTAACACAGAGATAATAAACAACTTCCTGTCGCTGCTGCTGAGAATAAACAGCTTCCACCGGGCAGCCTGGGATAACTGATGAATTAATAAACTCCCTAATTGTTGCTCTTGAGCTCAATGTGCGCTTACAGTCTGTGATGGCTCTCCCCTTCATGTCGACAGCAGAGATACTGTCTGCCTTACTGCAGTGTGTGCTGCTGGTGCAGTGTGCAGCTGCACTGTTTAAAACCCACCTGAAAAGCTTGCTGAGGCTTTTCTGGAGAGTTTATTCAAATTATTTTTTTCGCCCTGAAACAATAATCTGCACCCTCATCAGGTTGAACCTCTCTGAAGTGTTTTGGATGTGCGCTGATCAAATTTAAGTTGCAACGTGTTGTTTGCTGACACATTTTTGTCAGTGACTGATAAGTTGCCCTTGGCGTCATTGGCATTGTGTTTTGTAACCGGGAAAGTGTTTGATGGAAGTGATTTTTTTTTTTTTTTTTTTTTTACAGTGTTCTGGTGTGAATAAAGAGGTAAAGGTAAAAACGACAGCAGCGTGCAGCTCAAAAAGCCTCCTGAAGATTCACAGCTACAGTTGTGTCACACTTCATTCCAACAATTGCTCAAGGAAACAGGGCTGAAGGTTTCCTCTCT